AGGTAACATGAACGCGCAGCGTTATATCCACGAAGTTCTAGAACCCCATCTTTTACCCTATCTTGACACCCTGGCATATCCAACTTTCCAACAAGATAATGCCCGACCACATGTTGCAAGAGTCGCAATAGACTTCTTTCAACATAATGATGTCACATTGTTACCATGGCCACCAAGATCTCCCGACTTATCCCCAATTGAGCACGTGTGGGATATGATGGGTAGGAGATTGCTCAATTTGCAACGTCCTCCTCAGACTCTAGATGCACTTCGAGAGGAGTTGGTGGTTGCCTGGAATGAGATACCACAGGAGGACATTGACCACCTGATCAGAAGCATGCCTAGGCGCGTTGGAGAATGCGTAGCACATCAGGGTGCATCCACACATTATTAAATGTCAAAGGGCTTTAAAGCAGTGCAATCATTTTGAAATTTTTATCATTTACTTATTATGCTTCATCAAGTACTTATACAAAATTTTATTAAAATAAAACCATTTAAACTGAGTGTTCGGATTTATATGTCACTTAGTATATTTTGCCATTTTACTGCCGCTAGCGAAAAAGTATAAGAATGGCGAAAAATTTGAAAAATGAGATATGCTGATTATCTTATGAAAAGTTACCTCGTTTACAGAAAAGAATATGTACAAATAAATGATTCCATCAGTTCAGAAAAGACTTTGACTTATGGTGTTATGGGTTTTTTTTGATACTGTGTACGTCAATAGTCTACTTAGTATGAAGTCGCAAGGCACAATAATATGCTTTGCAATTCTCTATTATATTAACAATTCCTGGGATAGCCTTGAACAAACTGTTCAAAATGATATTATTTCAATTCCAGATTGGTTTAAACACATATATTTAATAATAAATTTTCAGAAAATCATATATATGCCTTTCACAAACTTTGGCAATACATTACCATCACTTACCTCTTTACAAATTAAATGTGTTCTTTGGTCATTTTATGTCGATCAGATTCTAGCAGCTTGTCGGTCTCTGAAATACTCAGGTATGATAGCTTTTCAGTATAAATCTGTATTTTCTCGGGATCCACACTTTTCCAGGTCTCGCGACCCGTATTTGAAGCAATAGTATCACAACAGAGAATCTGAACCTTCCAGGCAATAATAGTATCCCAAACTGGCTCAGCCTGCTCGTTGCCTGAAGAGTTCCAATTTGGACACAGCGACAAGTTGCTCTTTATTTTCATTCATTATAATAATCGGTAGACGTTCTTCTTTAGACTTGCGTGCATTTAAAAGTGGCAACAACTTGCCATCCCAGTGGATAGTTACAGTATCCAATACCTCGCTTTGGAGAACTTGGTTATAGGAAACTGGTCAGTGTTACTCCAAGTGTCTCAATGGTTGCTTCTATAATAAACACAGCATTTCTCGTACTTAACTAATGTCTATCTAATGCTGCCACTAATTTTGGAGTTATGAAACTGTCCCTCATATGAGTTTGATTAGTATCAGGCTGTGTGCTCTGAGTTGGGACAGGCAATATAGTATCTATATTATAGAACAAAAACTGCTAGTAGTTTTCCATTAGAGAGAAGTTTTGAACCGGTGTTTTGATACTTTGCGACCCCTATTGAAAATATTCCCGTTTGAGAACTGTGTAACTCCTTCATTTTCTGCATCGTAATAACGATATGTGTACGCACGTAACATTTCCATCATCAACCCTCTCTTCCCTTTTTCCGGTGCCCTCCGGAGTTGATGGACGGAAAAATGTGACTGTCAAATTCCTTTTGTACCCTACCAGCCACCATTTCCCCCCGTAACGGGGACTAGGGCGTAATTTAGCAGCTTGATAAACCGGCCTCGTTTCTTTCGCTCTCCATTGTAGCTGCGTCTCGTGAACAGACAGACGGAACTGCTGTGCCGTTTTGTTTTCCGGAATCGTTTTATTCCGCGCATACGCATGCATAGTTAGATATTAGCTTGACAGCATTTGTTTCTTCCTGAATAATTAGTCCAGGAGCCCGTATATCACTCAAAATATTCGCAAAAAAATAGTCCGGTAGAATGACTAAGTTCACGCGAAAGTTATAACATTTTACATTATTTTTTATTTCCAGTGATTTAATTTTCATAGAAATTTATTTTGCGATGTAAAGTAGAAAATATAAACCAGCGCCTATACAGGGCGTTTCAGTTTATTGTTGCATAACTTTAAGATTCGATAGAACTTTTAAAATTAATGCATAAAGTCTTTATAAACATGGGTCGGAAAATGCGTGGCTTCCGAAATACAGGGTGTTTAAATTTACTTTCTAAAATAGTTTTTTTTAAATATTTCGAACAATATTTGATGTATAACAGTGAAAATTGGTATACAAGGGTTTTTTGGTACAAAAAAACGAATCATGGGCATAGTTTTACTGTAGCCGCTAGAGGGCGCTCTCTACTGTACCTGTAGTGGATTAAAATGACCGAAATTTTTTTTTTAGTGCAATTTTTTGCTTTTTGAATGAAAAAACTGATTCTTCGCACTTTTCTGCATAAAAAAGCTCTTCTGTGAGTTTTCGTTATAGTTAGCCGTTTTTGAGATATTTCGATTTTTAAGGTTCGATGCATTTTTAATTATTTATGGGAAAATAATATTTTTTTACATTTTCGATCAAGTTGAAACCAGGCCAATCTTCTCAAATCTAACATAACATCATCCCACATATTTGCATGTTCAGCCTTTAAAAATGCCAAGAAGGTCGCAGCATTTAACCTTGCAGGCAAAAGGTAGGGTCCAAATAGTCGATTAGGGTAGATACCAATCCACACGTCCACACTAAATTCATGCTGAAAATTTCTTTCCCGAACTGCATGCGGATTTTCATGCGACCAAATATGTTGATTATGAAAATTTACCACTCCACGTCTAGTGAAGGATGAATCATCGGTCCATAAAACGTTACTTAAAAACTCCCTATTATTATCAGTTCTATCAAGAATCCACTGAAAAACTGTGATTCTTCGTTCTCCGTCCCCTGGCTGTAGTCCTTGCACAGGTTGCAAATGGTAAGGACGTCTATGGTCATTTCTAAGAACGCGGTGAACATGGCTTGCTGAAATTCCCAAGGCACCAGAAACTATGCCCATGGTTCGTTTTGTCGTACCAAAAAACCCTTGTATACCAATTTCACTGTTATACATCAAATATTGTTCGAAATATTTTAAAAAAACTATTTTAAAAAGTAAATTTAAACACCCTGTATTTCGGAAGCCACGCATTTTTCGACCCATGTTTATATAGACTTTATGCATTAATTTTAAAAGTTCTATCGAATCTTGAAGTTATGCAACAATAAACTGAAACACCCTGTATATGAGGTACTGCAAAAATGTTTTATGTGTCATGTAACTAACTTTTCTGTGATGTGGCTTAAATACACTCAGCACGGGTACGGTGGTGATTTCCCGTAATGCTTCTCAAGTATTTGAAAACGCAATTACGAAATTTATAACTTTGAACTCTCTCTCTCTCTCTCTGTCTTCAGAAAGGACAACATAAATAACCCGTCTGATGCAGCTAATCGATATACTTCATGGGTATGCAGTTTTCTTACTGATTTTATACACATGCAGACCAATACTCACAATCATTTAGATGCGATTTTAATACTCAACCAATTTTCCTTATATCTTCTCAGGGATATACTCAGACTATATCGGCATTTTGCAACCAACAAAGGATGCTAGGTCATTGAGCGTGTCGTTGAGTCATTCCTCCATAAATGACGCTTTTGGTGATGTTCACAGTGCACTTGGCGAACAAACAGGAAATGAGCTATTTGCTCACTAGGAATTATCTAGTCAGCAAGTTGACATTTTGTCAGTTTTTTTGACATTAAATCGGTTTTTTACGTAATAAACCTGCCTGTCTCTATTCCGGACCGACCCGTTTTTGATACTTTGTGTCACGTATTAACGTATTCTACCTGAATATGGTCAAGCAAATACTATATTGTATACAGGGTGTAAACGTTGTGATAGTCCTTATTTAAATGAGTGATAGAGGGAGTTAAAAGAAGCGACATTAAAGTAAAATAAAATCTGAAAACGCCGCAATGCCAGATGCAAATTAAGACGGAACGCAGTATAAATAAAGATGGAGTTTGTTATTTTTGGCTCTTAGGTATTATTTCATTATTTGATAATGTACTCCGAAAATGCAAATAATTAAAAAAAAGGATCTACCACTAACTGTCTCAACGCTTCACCTGGTGTGTGAAAGTTTACTGAACGTATTAAAAAAATCCACTTATAAATAGAGAACACAATTATGATACATACATTGTTTTTCTTTTTAAAACCCACACTCCACTTTTTTGTATTTAAAGAAGGCGTTCAAAATATCGTCCTACACTTTCCACACAAGCTTAATTACGACGAACCCAGTTTCTTCTTACTCTAGATCATTGATTCCCAAAGTGGTCTATATCGACCCCTAGGGGTCTATGACAACCTGCAAGGGGTCTACGTCAGCGAAAAAAAATTTGGGGGTTCATGAAATGAATATGGGGGTCCACGATAGTGGATCTCAACACATACACTGATAGTACCTATTTACTTACATCATACTATCTTATAATATCAAAACATATAGTATATCACACAAATTATAATGAGTCAGTGTTATTTTGTTTGAGAGTGCTGGAGAAAACTGCATTATTTTTTATTAAATTTTAGTTTAGTACTCGTAGTTAGCAAAGATAGATAAATTACGCCAATCATGACTTTAGTTATTAGTAGTTAAATATTCAATCATGCAAAATTACACGAGTACTCCTCAATTGTTTCTTTTTGAAAGTTTTAGCAATCGGTAATATAATTACAGTGCAATCTCCGTAATTCGAGCTAATTGTTGCAAGATGTTCGAATTATGGAATGTAGACAGTACAGTGTTGATTATTTGAAATTTGGCTTCATTCCATCATTGTCGGACAAACAATCGCCCATGTGCCTTTTATGCAACAAAGTTGCTGCTATGAAACCATCTAAACTGCAAGATCATCTGAGAAGATGCCACCCTGATAAAACAGAGAAAGATTTGAAATACTTTCAAACACTCAAAGATAAATTTCAGAAGAGACCTACACTGGACAGAATGTTCGCTTCGACGTCACAAAGAAATGATGATGGTTTGCGGGCGTCTTACAATATCTCGTTACTTATAGCAAAATCCGGAAAACCGCATACTATCGGAAAGAAGTTAATTTTGCCAGCCGTTGAAGAGGTTTTAAAAACTGTTTTACACAAACCTGCATCTGATATCATTAAAAGAATTCCCTTAAGCAACAATACTGTTGAAAGACGTATTGATGAAATGAGTTCTGATATTGAAAGCTTCTTATGTAATCATTTGCAAACGACCCATTTCTCTATACAACTGGACGAGTCAACTTTACCTGATCATGCAGCATTATTATTGGCATATGTTCGTTTTATTATGAATCAAGAAATCTACGAAGAACTGCTCTTCGCAAGAACTTTGATAACCGACACTAAAGGTGAATCAATATTTCAAGTTTTGAAGGATTACATCATTGAAAAAGCAATTCCTTTATCAAATATAATATCAGTAGCTACAGATGGAGCACCTGCCATGGTTGGACATTATCGTGGATTTATAAGCTATTTCATATTTCCTATGGTGACATAGAAGAAACGAATGTCATAATACAAAAGGAACTGACTGAACTAAGTACAAACGAAGAACTTAAGGTTCAGTTTAAAAACGGATATCAGCAATTCTGGCTGCAAGACAACATACCCGTTACTTATCCCGTATTATGGAATATAGCGAGGAAATTTTTAATTTCCTTTCCATCGTCATACCTAGTGGAAAGGGGTTCAGCGCTGTTACCAATCTCCTAACGAAAAAAGAAACAGACTGAAAATCATTAGCCGAGAAGATTTAAGATTAACCCTTACAAAATTGACGCCAAATGTTGATAATTTATTATTAATGCATCAGGTTCATCCTTCTCACTAAAAATATTGACTTATTGGTTATGTTATTTTATATATAGTTTATTTTATGTTTATTGGTGTCTGACCAATAAATGCCCGCATTGGGAATAAGTGCCCGCATTGATTTTTTTAAAGAACCCCCCTTTATAGAAAATATTTTTTTTTAAATTATTCTGAAAATTCAAGGATAGGTACACACTAAAATTCGTTAATTTTTTGCCTATTTTTAGATAACTTAAACGTATAAGAAGCGGAATTTAATCAAACTAACTGTGAGATTATTGTAGAACATACGTTTATGTTATAATTAATAAACGAACTCGCTTATTGTACTATTTTAAGTAAAAACTTTTTTTTTAGTTATTTTTCACTTTTTTTTTATTTTATCCCTCTTATTTTTTTCAATGCGGGTACTTATTCCCAACGCGGGCACTTATTGGTCAGACACCTGTTTATTTAATGTTACGTATATTTTACATAACAGATAAAAATTTTATTTTGAGTAGTTTTAATTTAAATTCAATTAATAAATGTATAAATTAACATGTGTTTTTACTTTAAGTTTTTAACACTAAACTTCACTACAGTTAGAAATTTACAGGAAATCAATATCAGGTAAGTAGGGGGTCTACCCAACACGGAAAAACATGGCAAAGGGACTACGACACAATAAAGTTTGGGGAACTCTGCTCTAGATCCTCGAAGTTGTCCATTTATCATTTCAGCCGCATTAAAATTTTTTTCGCGAAGTTGTGCTTCAGTTGTTATTGGACCAGCCCCATACACCATCCGTTTAAGTTCTGTCCAATGCCAGAAATCCATCGAATTGAGGACAGGAGATCTTGCTGACTCTTGATTCGAGAACATTGTAAATAAACACGACGACGTACGTGAACAATAACTAACCACTCTTACGTTTGCGATCGATTGCCGGTTCGATAAGAGTGATGAAAGACCGACGCGCTGTTGTCATGTGTGTTTTACATATTTAGTTCAATGAACTTACTTACTGACTACAAATTTTGGCTTAACTTAGAAAAACTTGATACCGTTTATTTGTTAATTACCCAATTTAAAAACGTTTTAGATTAGATTATAAAAATTAGTAAGATTGTGGTGATTGTGGTCGATATAAAGCACTTAAAGTTGTAAACTATAAAGCCATTTAGACAAAAATCACCCTGTATATTGCCAAAAAACAAGTTGAAGGAATTATTTTTTCTGGGTGCAACACTTCTAATGTCACTGAGTATATCAAACATAATTAATTAATATTAGTTCTTGTTTAGTTTAATAATATTTATGTATATCCTAATCTCTCACATAAACATGTTTTTATGTAATGAGAACCGTAAATAAATGAAAAAATAAATATTATGGGGCAAACTTGCTCGTTCAAAATAAGGGTTCACGAGAATGAATTGTCGAGAACGCGCTTTCCGTCAGTTTCCGAAATCTTGTAACGCAGATACATTTGCCAGGAATCGGGAAATAATCTTGGTTTCTGTGGGGACGACACGTAGAGCATTTTATAAAATCGCTTTGCGTATACATATATATATGTTGAATGTGATGGCGTCGGAATCGGCTAACAAAGCAGCGATCAAAACAACTCCACAGAAACGCGCGTATATCTCCGCAAAAATGGCATCGGCACGTCAAAGGGATTTGTCAGCGGCGAGGGGCTTGAAACTATACAGGGTGGCGCATCGAAAAAGAAACAGTTTTTTTATTTTTTGGAAAAACGCTCAGACCCGTCGAGTATGGCAAACAATCACGTTAGCACGTGCAACCCCCTGGGCGGGGGTGACACCAACCCTAAAATCTTAAATGGAAAGGGGGGTCGAGTGATACCTTATTTTAAAGGTCTTTCAATTCCCTTTATAATGATGTAAAATACACGAGCTTCAGTTCAGTAGTTTTGAAGATTTATTGATTGAAAGCTTAAAGTACACTTTAATAGGTACATCAAATTAGTTTGTACTACTTTCAGAAGAAATTTGACTAAAAGAATTTACTTAATAAGTAAATGCCTTTCTTCACTACGCCCATGGTTTGTTTATCATTTTGTTGTTGAAAACAGCTATTGGAGCGTTTTTTTGTGGCAAAAAAGCCATTTCTTGAAGAAAGATAAGGAGATTAACCATCATATATTCCACAGCAGAAAGAGTTGAAAATTATCGAAATATTTTTCGTAAATAATCAGTGCGCTAATAGAACAGCAAAAATCAGCGACATGAGAAGCCAGTCTCCAATAAAAAACGCAACATTGAAAATCCCATAAGGAACGAAGCAATAGCAGTGGGGGTTTTAGGGCAACTTTATGTAGATCCTACGTTAAGTACCCGCAAATTGGAGACTGTGTGGTGTTAGTCGACATACTGTCCAACGGATTCTAAAGGCCCATAGTTTTCATCCGTATAAAATTCACCTGGTACCAGAACTTAATGAAGACGATTTTGATCGGCGATTACAATTCTGTGAAGATATGAGTGAACGAATTATAAACGATGAACATTTTCTATTCAACACTTGCTTTTCCGACGAATGTTCCTTTTTCGTAAATGGCGTAGTAAATCATCAAAACTGCCGATATTGATCCGATTCTAATCCTAGAATTTATCATGAGGTTCATACACAGCAGCCACAAAAATTAAATGTTTGGTCTGGCATTTCTGCCGATCATTTAGTTGGTCCTTTTTTCTTACCTGGAAATTTGACCGGTGAAATGTATTTGGAATTATTGGAAGACGCCATAGATCCTGCATTAACAGCCATAATTGAAAATCAGAATGATCGGCGGTAAATTGCGAATAATCTTGATTTAATGTTGTTGATTTTTTTTTAGAAGCCTTTAGTAACTAATGGTTTACCGAATGTTGATTCGTATTTTTTCAACATCTTCTTCAAGGCATCGTCCTTTCTCATTTTTATTTTTGGAACTTGTGAATTTTGCAAAATAATGGGAGCAATCGGAATTTCATCTGCGATGAACTCCAGGTCGTTGCCATTATTTTCTATAGTTTCCTCATCACTTGATGATGACATGCTTATTAATTTGATAAAAAACTGTATCCAGTAAAAATACGGAACGGTCTGTGTAAGCCCTGGAATACAACTGTCAGTGATGCTGAGTGAACGAACTCCCACGTCAACTACAAGCTGGAACAAGTCGGGACATGTCGCTCAAGATACAAATACCAGTCAACCTTTTACTTCTTCTTGGAGTATATCCTCGCGAGTATAAGGTAATCATTATGAATATGCAAACAAGGATATGCTTAAACTTCTACCTTTTTCTCCGAAGCAAGACCTTATACTTTTAGCTTATGCCGAGGATATGCTTCTCTTTTATGAATACGGCTCATTGACTACGAATGACTGTTATTAAAGGATCCAGATAGTCTAATCGAACTAGTCGTGAGTTAATGAACGATAACGAGACAAGAGAAAGAAGGCGGAACAGAAGCGGAAGCAGAAGGTTGTATAACTGGTTGTCTAGAAGCTATGAAAAAAATGTTACTGATAAAGGCTGAAAAAAAATATATATAAAAAGGATTAGCCACCCTGTGTATATAAATATAATATGTATTCTACAATATATTGGGTATCTCAAAACCTGAAAGCCAAACGGAATATGATAGTGCAGAGGATAGAGACTTGAAAAAGGGCAAAGTTGGATGGATCCATACTAATATAATATTCCGTGCTTTTATGGAATTAAAGGTATAATAAAAGAAAGGTTCCTTGCTTGTCACACAAAGTTTAACGTGATCTCCAGGCCGCAAAAGTAGCCGCAAGTTTTCAGGGTGAACCGGATATATATTATTGAAGAAGTCCCTCGACTTCGGGATAACTAGCTACGAGGGCAGATGTATGTACAGGGTGTCCGCAAAGTTGGGGTTTTCCTTTACACGACGTGTAGATCTTGAAACAATAAGCAATTTTTCTTAGTACCATATACACCAATGTCTTAAGGGAACCGAGATAAAGGGCTCTGCAACATCAAAAATATCTGAATACCGTCCTGTAGCCGCGACATCCCCGACTGGTACAAGGTCACTGGCTCAACCCGATGACAGAACTGGGTCGGGGTCAGTGTGTTCAACCGACGGTTACGGTCACGCGTGTAGAGGTAATCGCGTAGACGAGAATCCCTCAACAAGCACTAGAGACGTGACTAGAGAAGTGCAAGTATCAAAAACTAAAGTGTGGCAAACGCTGCGTGAAGAGGGGCTGTATCCGTTTCACGTCCAACGTGTACAAGCCCTGCAACCTGACGATTTTCCAGCAAGAGTGCGGTTTTGTGAGTGGTTGTTGCATCAACATGACAATAATCCGGACTTTTTGAATTGCATATTGGTGACAGATGAATCTAACTTCACGCGTAATGGGGTGAATAACTTTCGCAACACTCATGTTTGGTCAGTAGAAAATCCGCACGCTGTCCGTCGGGCACATTTGCAACAAACATTTTCGGTGAATGTTTGGGCTGGCATGGTGCGTCCGCTCGGTAGCGCATCAGCTGATTTCGGGCAGAGACGTACTTAGTCCTTGTCGTCAACTGGAGAGTGAGTACTTTTTCCTTTATTTTTTTTTTTACTTGGTCGCCCTCGTTTCACTACACATTACCTTTGTTATTTCAAGGGTATTTGTTTCTGAAAAGGAAAACCCCAACTTTGCGGACAC